TGTCTGGATTAATGATTCAGAATTATTATAATATGAAATTAGATAGGCACTTATAGTTATATTCGAGGAGTGATTATGAATCCATTTGTAATTAGGTAGTTTGGTTAGGTTTTTATGTATTCTTGGTAGCGAATATGAAACCAAACGTAACGTAAGTGCTTAGCGACGAATTTTAAGTGACTAAAATCCAACGTAATATGACGTTGGTAATTGGTAGAATTACATTCCCTATTAGGTCAGATACCGACGTCGAGAGGCGACCCGAATCTGTATTCCCCATTTAGGTGCAAATAAGGGTCGTCAGGCGGTCGAACCGACGTTGGTACCCGACGTCGGGTTTATTGAACGCGACGTATACCCAACGTTAGATAACGTCCAAATGCTACTTGGGCATATCTACCGATGACAATGTGCAGTGGTGTTAGATCTAGAATGACCATTGGAGGAGTTTGGATAATAAATCTTTTCAAAAAAGTTTTGGATAATAGATAGGTCTTTATAAAATTTCAAAAATGCTGCCGACATCAAATAATAATATCACGCAGGCTGGAATTCAAAATCAAGGCACGCGAAGTGCGTGAAATTTAAATATTTATCCTATTTTTAACGAATACACGCACTTATCTTCTTACTTCTCACACCACCGATAGTTCATTCGAAAATAACCATAAGCAGCCTAAACTCTAAACCCTCAAATAAAACACTCTTTTCTCAAACCTAACTTAGCTAATTAACTGATTGGCGCGCGCCCCCTCCCGGTCGTATCCACCGCCTAACCCTAGCGCCATCTACTGGGCAAAGGCGACGGTGGCGCCACCCGCTCGCTCTTAGCGTATCGCCGCGCTATGCAAATGTAATAAGTCTAAAAGCTGGGGCCGGTAATCGAGAATTCGGGACGCATACCGGCCGATCGGTCGGTCGGTTGGTGATGGAAGCGGATAGGGGGTAATAATGGAAGAAGAAAGAGGGGTAGCAGCGAGGGCGAGTTGGAGGTAGCAGCGGTCTGTCTGGAGTAATGGAAGGGCAAACGAAGTAGGGGTGGAAGTGAGTTGCACTACTAATAAATTCGTAAAAAATATTGCTCTCATTTTGAAGAAACTTCTTTATGAGCGATGAGAGTTAAAATTCAAGGACGCGGCGGCTGCGAGACGGCAATAACGGTAATGATCATGCAATGACTATCTATAACAGAAGATCCCTCTTTAGCGATCTTCTCTCTCTTCACTGCAACCAGTCCCGGCCGCTGCAAATTCTGAAACTTAGGTGCCGGTTCCACCTACCAATACATCGATTTTTGAGATGCACAATCTATGAGGAGCATGCCCACCCGAAAGTGTATTCCCACAAATCACAGCTAACCCACATTTTGTGGATCGTTGTGTTGCAATCCGCTCGCTACTACTTCGTCCAGTATCGCCTCTTCTAGAGCCTTTGCTGGTCACTGCAGCCTCTGGGTAATCCTTTAGCAGCACTGCCATTTTCACTTGTCCTGTTTACCTGTCGGTGTTGGATGGCTTTCCATCCTGGTTTTTTTTCTCTCTCCTTGTCGGAGCAAAGGTAAGAGGTTCTCGCTGTCTTCTTACCCTTGGTAGAGATGAGTTTCTTGGTTCCTTTACTCTCCCCCTTTTCGAAGAGTGCTTTGGCATTTGCCTCCTCTAGAGCAAGTCATTCGTGAAGCAGTCAGAGGTATCTCCGTACTTCAGCTCCGCTAAGATCTACTCGACAAAGATGGGCATTCCGTCTAAAATTGGTGCTTGTGTATGTTATTTTTTGGTAGTTGTCGAGTATGACACTGTGGAAGAAAGAAACACTTATTGCTTCAAAATTTATATGATAGCAAAAGACCTTTACTTAAAACAAATCTGCTGTAAGCGTCATCTTGTGGCAACGCTATACTTTCATAGGATAAGGTCAGCAAATGGGATAATAAGTAGCTAATCATGATGAACAATGACAATAACTTTTATTTTTTCTCCAACTGTTAAAGTGTATTCTTTATCTAAATCAGACTATATATTGGTATTGTCCGTCAATTGTTAGAAACGCATACCACTGCAAACCGGTCTGATGACGATATCTCGATGTAGGTGGAGAAAAAGTAAAAAATGTTACCCAGATCGCTTTTTTTAACGTTTCCATTGTGGAAAACTCCAGCTTTTCTTACGATATTTTCTCCTCACACCCCAATTTCACAATAAACAGACGAAAAGTGTAGGCGGCATGTGAGATTTTTAGTTTTTTTTTGTAAGTTTTTGTTATGGTTACTACCTGTCTGAAAAATTTAGGCCTTTGATAATTTTTAGCGAGTAATTAGTTAGTGCATATGGGGACAAATTCTAGAAAATAGGACATATACATGGTCGTTAGAACTGCATTCGTAAAACTTGGGTATCATATTCTACAGATAAAAATTAGTACAAAAATTTGTTTAAATAAATTTATGTCCTAAAATGTTTAGTTTCGGAGATACAGGGTGTAGAAGATTCATTTTCATTTCGAATTTTTCAAAATAATTTCAGAACTAATGTTCCAAACCAAACCAAACCAAACCAAACCAAACTAATGTCGATATTTGGATGAAAATTGGTGTCTTTGGTGTTTTTGACATGGAAAATTTAATTTTGATGTCAGTATGGCTCCTACTCCTACCTGCATTTTTTTTAACTGGTTTGAAGAATAATAACTTTTGGTCCGTACCTATATAAAACTACAGAGTAAAAAAATATACAATTACGCCATTTTTTACGTAAAAAAACCTCGTCGTTAAAATCGTTAGGAGTAACCGTTTTAAAGATATTTAGAATGTAAATTATCAATACAATGTCATTATTGACAAAAAATAAACATGTTGATTAGATAGTTATTTGATGGAAATGATAAATTTGGGAACTTTTTTTTTAATTAATCATAATTTTTCCTGGAAAAAATATAACAAAACAGTTTCTATTGAAGTTTTGGCACAAAAACATTTCAAATTTATGATTTCAGTCTAATGATTATCTTGTCAAAATGTTCAATTTTTGTCAGTGATTGATTATTTTGATTCTAAACATCTCGAGAACCATTCCTTGTAGCGATTTTTACCAATTGGCCTTTTACGTAAAAATGGCGATGATGTATATTTTTCCATTCAGTAGTTTTCTATAAGTACGGACGAAAAGTTGTTACTCGTCACATCAGTTAAAAAATATGTAGGTAGTGCTCCCTACAAGTAATTATCATATTGACATCGAAATCAAATTTCCCATGTCAAAACTTCAGGACACTAATTTTCATCCAAATATCGACGTTAGTTCAGGAGTTGTTTGAAAATAATCGAAATAAAACTTCTACACCGTGTATCTCCAAAACTAAAATGTTTACATTTTAGAACATATATACGAACTTTTTTACATATTTTTATTGGGAGAATATGCTACCGAAGTTTCCCGAATACAATTCGGACCACCCTGTATATTGCCGATATTTAATTAATCAGAATGGTTAGACCAATTTAAGTTGTTCTGGTGCTGATGTCGCCATAATTAACGAAGTATAGTAGATATTAAAACTAGTAGTTACGTTCTTGGCTCTGAAGAAACCATAAAGAAAACATCTTTTGACGATGTGAAATCTTCTGGACACCTTATGTTTCTTCTGATATTACATAATCGTCTCGGTAATGTGACTTCCTGGTTACATTATGGAATCTTTTGGAAACCGCGCGTTATCCTTTTGCTTAATAAATACTTAATTTGCAAATTGACAACACTTCCAGGAATGCATTGCCAGGAAGACCAGAAAGACAGAGGCCAGATGATTTTGAGAAAATCTACAGGGGGGTGCTGAGGAATTTTTTCGAAAATTTTTGAAAAATCAATTTTGCTTATTTGGTAATAATATATTGTAGTGCTGAATGTGTACTTTACAAAACCGTATCGTTTTTGAGGTTGACACTTTTTGTTCCAGAGATATGTGGTGTTAAATATGTTACATCGGAAAACCGAAAAAAATATTTCTATTGTAGATTTTCTTAAATAACTCGAGATCTGTTAGAGATATCGGAAAACGGCTTGCGGTAGTCAATTCTACATAAAATGAAATATCAGTAAGTATTTTTTTGTTGCGATCTGATAAATTTCGATTTTTTTCTAAAATAACTTGTGGCAGTCGATTTTACGTAAAATTAACTATCAGTAAGAATATTTTAGTCGCGATCTGAGACATTTCTGTTTTTGAGAAAATCGACAGGGGGGTGCCGATGAATTTTTTCCAAAATCGATTTTGCTTATTTGGTAATATATTGTAGTCCTGAATGTGTACTTTACAAAACCAATTCGATTTAGAGATTGACACTTTTTGTTCTAGAGATATTCGTTGTTAATTATATCGGAAAACGGAAAAAAATTCTTTTGTCAAATAACTTTCTAATAACTTCAATTCTTTATCTCAAATAACTCAAAATCTGTTAGAGATATCGGAAAACGGCTTGCGGTAGTCAATTCTACATGAAATGAAATATCAGTAAGTATTTTTTTGTTGCGATCTGATAGATTTCGATTTTTTTCTTAAATAACTTGTGGCAGTCGATTTTACGTAAAATTAACTATCAGTAAGAATATTTTAGTCGCCATCTGAGACATTTCCGTTTTTGAGAAAATCGACAGGGAGTTGCCGAGGAATTTTTTCCAAAAATTTTGGAAAATCGAATTTGCTTATTTAGTAATATATTGTCCTGAATGTGTACATTACAAAACCGTTTCGTTTTTGAGATTGACACTTTTTATTCCAGAGATATTCGTTAAATATATCGGAAAACGGAAAAAATATTTCATTTGTAGAGTTTCTCAAATAACTCAAAATCTGTTAAAGATATTGGAAAACGGTTTGCGGCAGTCAATTCTACGTAGAATTAACTATCAGTAAGTATTTTTTGTTGTGATCTGAGAGATTTCGCATTCCAGAGACCTCCATCGTCTGATGTGGGTAGAAGATTGAAAAAACTGAGACACGCATTTTTGTTATAATTTATTATATTATTAAGTTTTACGTAGAATTACATTTCTCTAATAAACAAGCCAGCGTTACACAGAATTCAAGAGAAGCTCATCTGGTAATTGTACAGAAGAATACTAATAGTTTATGAGTGGAAGCATCAGCTCTTTTGGATTTTCTTTAAGATGCTGTTATCATCAGCAGAAGTCAGTAGTTATATGGTAGTAAAATTTCAGAACAGAATAACAATTTTCACCATCTCCAATATGGTAGATTATAACGATATAATAGCTTGTGGACATAAAGCATATGAGCAGCAACTAAATACTTATAAGTCTTGAGTCTTATCTATTTAACATGATAGACATGTTTGGTTTGGTTTGGTTTGGTTTAATATACCGTATGATCGAAAAAAAAACGTCATCCAGTTGGCTTGGAAATGAACGTCGATGACATTCCCCATTATCTTGTTAATTGTTATCTTTTTAAATTAGATTAATACCAATAGAGTTCGGTCTTTCAACCGTGATAATTTTAATAACATGAAACAAGAGCATATTAGTAGATAGGTATTCTTAAATATATTTCTTCTGTTGCGCCGATTTTTCTTTCCAGGATTTTACTCTTTGTAAATTATTGACCTTATCGACCAGACTGCTCAGAGCCGGATAGGACTTCAATAAACCAGGTCCTCTGTTTTCAAGTTCTTCTAAAGTGCCGACAAATGGAAAGTCTGCCCAAGTAAGCTAAAAAAGCAGGATAAAATGACAATTATCAATTGAAACTCTTCCTATATTCTTAATTCAAAATATTTGTCGAAAATATTTAGTTAATATTATTTTAGTTATATCAAATATTATATTTTTTCTATTTTTGAGTTTCTGACACGGACGATATGGCGATTAGAATTGTTTTGCAAAAGTTAACAACAGAGACTACCTGTGATCCGACACTGTATCCTCCATTTTTAGAAACCATTACATCAAACTTTTCTAAGTAGAATGGAACATCTTCTTCATAATACTTTTTCCTGTAAATCTCCTTCTGTTCTGGGTTTTCTTCATCAAAGTAATTTGTACCTCCTACAATATTACATTCCCAATGTATTAAGCTCTACAAAGTATCTCTAACAGTAACAAAAATTGAAATTAAATGATATTAGAAAAAAATTACAGAGAAATTGTCAAAGAAAAAATAAAATATAGAAACGATATAGTGAGAAATAATTTGTTCTAAATAAATAACCCTAATTTTAAGTGATACAGTAAAAAGATTAAAAAAGGAGAATATCAAAAATAATGTGTGGTGTCCTCGAAGAACGTTGGCTACCATCAATGACCTATATTTTGTTCACGGCTCTTCTAAGCAGCGTGTTGGTATTTACTCCGACACTCAATAATTTGTTGTTTTATTGTTCGTTGTCAATAAATGTTGGTAGATAGTAAAATAGTTATGAAATGTTTAATTCTAATAAAAATAGATAAGTTATAATAATTATTTAATAACACAAACATCAGATACGCCCATGAAGCACGTGATTTAAATTGACGCACCTTAATTATAATTTTTGACAAGTAGTAAATAAAATCGAAAATTTAAGAATAAATATACAATAATTAGTTAATTCTAAGTGAATTTCATAAATTACGGTTTACTATACATATTTACATTCGGTTTACTATACATATTTATACCAGGTCAATTACCAGTGAAAAGTTATTCCATTATTTCCTTTAATTTTTGACCGAGATCTACCGCATGCTAGAGAACCAAGTATTTTACAGTCTTTTTCGACAAATCCACAAAATTTCAAATCGAATTCAAATGTTTCAAATAAAACCTCAAACAAACCTGTCAAGGATCCCTACCCTAGGTCCCCACCTCCGTGCATGAATACATGGATAGCAATATAATACTCTTTTCTTAATCTCTTTATTCAAAGGTAGTAGTATATAGTAAGTTTTATGTTTCGTAACTAAAATAAGGTAGGTAGGTATACACATACTTTTTACAAGATCTTCTAGTGTATCTACTAACGAGTCACATTCTAGATCTTCTAAATCATTTTTTCCGACGAGATTGAACTTTTTTCCCAAGTAGCGTGCAATAGCAAAACTCTGTGCAATTGGTTTCCCGTCAATTTCAAGGATAGGAACCTGGCCATATGGAGTTTCTGAAAAATATACATAAAAAAATTCGTTTCAGTATTCAATATTTTACATAAAATTATTTATAGTGATAGCGGCGAGGTGTGTTTGAATGCCTCCGCAGCGGTTTTTCGGTGGTAATCCATATAACACACAATATCCGCAGGATATTCATAGAATGTCGGAATGTCCCATTATAAGATCATCTTATAAAGACATCTATAGGATATCCTCCAGACATCCTGAAATCCTGTAGTGTCTCAGGATAGAATATCCTATGGATATCTCTGTCGTATATATAATGTACATCCAGCTGAGATATCCAAACATGCTCATGATAATAAAATATCCTAACAATATCGTCTAGATATTTAGGAAAAATAAATAATGTACTACTTTTTATATTACATAAAATGCAATAAACTATACAGATAGATATACAGTATTGCTGGCAAAGGAATATTAGCAATAGGAGGTTTTCAATGCGATAAAAAAAGATGGTAAGGCTGCAAAATACACTGCAGTGCAACAGAGACGGATAAAGTGTCTTTTCCCTATCATTGTATAGGGGAAGTGATCATAGAAGTGATACGACGATAGAGCCCCTGCGAGAGGGGGCGCCGGGCGGGTCTTTAAGACGCTTGTGTGGGGGCTACCGCCTACTAATAGAACAGAATCGAAAAAATAGAAACAGGACGGACAGTGTTGCCATTCAATTAATCTTATACTCATAGTTCTAGCCTTGTCTAGCAGAAATTCTATCCCAACCTCAACTAATGTCGAAAAACGACGAACGACTCGGGGTTTCACAATGAAAAATTTGTGACAAAATTATAGGTGAAAATTTGTTGAAAAGCGCTTGTTCTTTATCCCTAAACCCATTTTCGTGTTTGATCTATTCGAACAGAAATCCTATTTTTGTGTTTAAGTTGTGAGTTTCTGGAATGTGTGGTGTTAGAAATTATACCTGTATCCTGTGTGCTACTGTGTGCTAACTTTGATGTAAACTGTTGCTGCTAGACATAAACTGCTAGACTCCATAAAGGGTAGTATAATCTAGTATCTAGTATAATACCAAACGATCGAAAAAAACGGCGTCAGAGGTGGCTTGGAAATGAAGATTGCTGTTATTTTGTATGTAAATTTATTTGGGGAATGTCATCGATCGTAATTTTCAAGCCAATTGAACGCCGTTTTTTTTTCGATGGCACAGTATAAATTGAAAGGTCTTAACTCATACAAATAAATTTCTAAATTTTGACGCAAAAATGACGCAAAATTCATTGAAATAATATGTAGGTATATTTTAGAGCTGTTAATAAAAATATCCAATGAATAACGTCAAAATGTGGCTAAATAAAACTAAATCGGGAATGTTTTTACTACAAACTAAGGATGAAGAAAGTATTGTCAAATAATAGTCCTCATATAATGTCCTAAAAATATTCTATAATGCTCCCAACATCATCCTTGTATTATCCTATAAATATCCCAAATAATCTTAAAAGGCTTGCCTAGGGATGTCTTGAAGATGACTTTTTTGTCCCATCTGGATATCCCATAAATATCCTCCTCTGGTTTTGGGATATCCCTAAGATATTTACTATATCCTTGGTGGATATCTATAGGATTGTGTTGTGTTATATGGGAACGCTTGCGAATTGTAAGCTACTGCCTAACCAGGCTGCAAATGGTGCCTTGTGCCTTGTTTACTTCCATTTTTTTTTCAGGATCACTAGTCCATCGTTGCTGATTCCTCCCGTATTGATGAAGCCGGAAGGCAGAAACACTGAGTGTCTACGGGTAGTCATGTTTCATGGCTAATCTTACTGTAGACTTTCCCAATAAATTCTTTCTTCTTTTTTAAAATTATTTATTCGTCTAATTATTTCTTATTTTTAAATGGATTTATATCAAACCAGCTGTGTCCTAACAAAAGTATTGTTTACAGTTTTTTTCTTAAAAATAATAAGAGAACATTGCTTTTTAAAAATATCTGTGGACTATACTTTTATTGATCGGGTCAATCAATAATTTTCCCAATCATCGATATATTTTGATGATGTTGAATGATGCAGTCAATCTACTGTTATATTAATCATTTGAGGCCGTAAACAAACATAACATATACAATCTTATATACTAATTCATTATAATAAAATTAAATAATTAATAATAAAAATATTGTAATAATATTCCTGCAGATCAAGTGAAAAGTTTTGTTTTTTAAGTATCTACTTTACATATTATAAACGCATAAAAAGTAATAAACACACATACAGCGGTCTCTTTAAATATAAGGGTGGTGTTTATCAATAAATGTTCACAAACTTTTTAATATTATTTGATAATAGAGATTACATAATAATTGTATTATTATTATTATTTATTTTAAGTTCTGTTAAATAAAGTGAATTTTAAAAATTAATACTTAGGTACCTACTGAAACAACTGAAACAGATTTTAAGAAAATAAATATTAGTCTGTGCATTTAAGAAGGAAATAAGCTAGTAAATGTACCTTACTTTTGAACACACTTATAATAAACAAAGATTCTACTATAATTATAAGCTCAATATTGACCTTGTTGACAAAATCACTTACTTTTCTTAAATTCAGGCCATTTTTCCTTTGGAATCCTAATATCCTCAAAATCTTGATTTCCATAAGCCAATAAATATCTAATAATTTGACCTCGACCGTTTGTATCGAAATAGTAAAGTTTGTACGTTGTCGGGGCCATAATAGTTAAAAAAATTATTTTGTCTCTGTTGCCAATATCTCTCTGCTGAAAACAGAATAAAGTGTTAAAGCCGCGCTAATTTGTATTTATGATGCAATCAAAGTTTATACAGACCAACTTAAAGGTAGCCACACACATGCAGGGTGGCGCCGTTCATCCGCCGCGGAGGCTCCAAGGAGAACGACAATTTGTAGTGAAAAGAAATTTTGAGAGCATATTATGTAGGTTAATTTAGAGCACTTTTTAAAAATATAGAGAGTTCTACGGGGTGTCCCCAAAAAAAGTTACATATCAAAGTTGTGTTTATTGTAACGAAACACCCTATATATTAATTGATTTTCGGATTCTGGGAGAAAAATAAAGGTGCGTTTTATAAGAGAACTATATGACTAAAACGTAAGGTTTTTGACATATTTAACATTTTCTAGAAATAAAGAACAATTTTTAAATTACAATAAAAGCTACCTGAATTGGAATTTACCCTGTATAACCTAATATATAGTTAAATTAACTATTGTTCTTTAAATCAAACTAAAATTGATTCAAAAAGTTATACAGGGTGAGAGAAAATTAATATTGAACATTGGTAACCTTTGAAAGCATGTTACTCTCTTATTTTAAACAGAACACCCTGTATATTATTCCGATATTCAATGGAGAATTCATGTCTCTTCAAAATACTATTAAGGTTGCCTGCTCTTCAAACAAAGATTTTCCTAGATACTTTCATTTACATGATTTGATCCGAGTAGATCTTTATTATTTGATAAAATCTAGGTGGCTGTGATATGTCTGACGTTACTTCAACATAGCTGTCTGGTTAGTCCAACTTTAACAACTAGTTATTATTTTGTGTCAGTTAAAACAAAAAAATTCCTCAGAAATTTGCGGAAAATGCAAACTTATCCTACATCAGAAAGAATTGATATGATTCTATTTGTTGGTGAATGCAGTGTGCATTCACCAATTAATAGAATACTTAAATGCTCCTGATTTTATTTAGTCTGGATTTTTTTATGGGGATATGTTAAAGACAATGTTTACAAAACTCGACCAACTAGTTTCGACAACATTAGAAAAATTATTGTAGCTGTTTTTCGAGGTAGAACTCCACATATACCTTTTAAAATGAAAAGATATTTTTGAAAAGATAATCATTTTATGCAGTTAACAGGAAAGGAAGCAATTTGAGCATTTGATTTCATTTCGGATTTCATCTAGCTAATTTTTGTCGCATAATTATATGTTTATATCTAGTTTTAATTCTGTAATAATTAAAATCTGTTTTAAACGTGTATCTTTTTATTACCCTTGAGTATTTTACTCTAGAATCTTTAATTTTTGTTGAATTAACAAAAGGTATATCATACAGCCACCTGGATTTTTTTTCAAATAATAAAGATTACTGACGCAAAATCATATAAATTAAAATATCTGGAAAAATCTTTGTCTGAGGGGTAGGCAACTTTAATAATATTTTGAAGATATATAAATTCCCCATTGAATATCGGAAAAATATACTGGGTGTTCCATTTAAAGTAAAGGAGTAAGGAGTTGCTTTTAAGTGTGACTAATGTTCCATAATAATTTTGTCTCACCCTATATAACTGTTCGGGTCAAATTTCAATTTGGTTTAACATACAATGGTTACTGTAATTAAATATCAGGCTATACAAGAGCAACTAAAATTCAGGTAGCTGTTATCGAAATTTAAAATTTACTCTTCGTTTTCACAAAACGTGAAATATGTCAAAATCCTAAGATTTTAGGTATATGCTTCTTTAATAAAATTTACCTTTATTTTTTTCCTAGAACCCGAAAATCAATTAATATACAGGGTCCGGCAATAGTGCGTCGGGCATCTGTAGCTCCTAGAATAAAAAACTTCAGAATTTTGTTTAAGTGCAAACCCAAAGTATGTACCAGGATGTATTTCAGGAAAATATTTTAACTTCTATAGGGTGGCTCAAAAAAGTGTGAGTGGACCTGGATGATTCTTTTTAAATGGAACACCCTGTATATTATTGCATTTTTGGCTTTCTTTTCGATCACTTTACATAACCCTAAGATATGAATAAATACATTTCGATAGTTTCAGAGATATTAAAAAATAAATCAAAAATATATATTTTTCAGCCCTTCTTAAAAAAATTATTAAAAATACAAGAACTGTTCTGAAATCAAAACTATATTAGGTATTTACTTTAGATGGTCTGTACTTTGCTATAAATATGAATATCGTAAATTATACAGGATGTTCAAAATTCTACGCCAGACTTTCTAAAATATAAAATAATTTTTCTTCGTTTTTTTAAATGGAACACCCTGTATATTATTTTTTCAATAGACGGAGAATTAAAAAATGAACATTTTTTGTATTTACAGTATTTTAAAATTTTTAACGGTTTTGCAGATATTTGCGGTTTATATATTTCATATGGCATTTTCCACAGTAAATTTTTATCAAAGCCACGCAATGATTTTTCTCTCGTATGTTACCATTGAAAGCGCCATATGAAATAATACTGCGTGTATCTGCGAAACCGTTAAGAATTTTGAAATACTCATCTAATAAAAAAATAATATACAGGGTGTTCCATTTAAAAAAACAAAGAAAACATATTTTATATTTTAGAAAGTTTGACGTAGAATATTGAACATCCTGTAGGATTTACGATTACCATATTTATAGCAAAGGAAGAATAGACCATCTAAAGTAAATACCTAATATAGTTTTGATTTCAGAACAGTTTCAATATTTTTAATAATTTTTTTTAAGAAGGGCTGAAAAACATATATTTTTGATTTATTTTTTAATATCTCTGAAACTATCGAAATATATTTATTTATATCTTAGGTGTATGTAAAGTGATCTGAAAGGAATCCAAAAATGCAATAATTTACAGGGTGTTCCATTTAAAAAAAATCATCCAGGTCCACTCACAGTTTTTTGAGCCACCCTATAGAAGTTAAAATATTTTCCTGAAATACATCCTGGTACATACTTTAGGTTTGCACTAAAACAAAATTCTCAAGTATTTTATTCTATGAGCTACAGATGCCCGACGCACTATTGCCGGACCCTGTATAAGGTGCTCCATTAGAAAAAAAAACAACTTTGATGTGTAACTTTTTTTGAGGACACCCTGTATAATTCTATATATTTTTATAAAATGCTTTCAGTTAACCTACATATGCTGCCAAAATTTCATTTCGATATAAACTACCGTTCTCCTTGTACAGTTATTCTTTATGGTTTGGACTGCGCGGTCCAAATCTTGAAATATGTCTCCACATGTATGGTGAAGTCCTTGACACTGCCGGTGGATAGTCCACAGAATCCTATTTAAAAACCATTGTGAATTGTGCAGCACAGTGCCTGAACAGGCCAAACCCTGGGTGTGTGGTGGTATCGTTAGTTAATCTACCAGTTTTCCGCTACCCACCACAATTATTTTGCAAATATCAACCGTCAATTTGTGAAAGACTCCATTAAAATATACGAAAGTGTGCTTTAAATTTGGCAATCATATTGTAAGAAATGCCGGATATGCAAGATCAACAGAAAAAAATAATAATTTTCTATATTATTCAAATTCATTTTGCAAAGAGAAGTTGTAGATTGTATAGGAGGGGCCACCGTGAAATTTATAGATCTACCTGAGAAATGTACCAAAAAAATCCCAAAGAAGACTGTTTGAAGTGTGGAGCGTCAAATAATAATGTATACAATTGACGTCAACCAATCATGAAAGCATCAAATTGCTGTATGCGAGAGTTATGAGCTGAAACAATTCTCAAAACCTCGACTGTGCAGTTTTGCCTTGAGGAAAAACTCTATGTATGTGGCTACCTCAACTTAGGTAAAACCGAAGCATCATGCGATTGCAAATATCGATGTGGGGTGATCGAATACTCTTGAATTAAATTTGTTCTAAACATAGTCACGCTTAATGATAAGCAAATATTAATCACTTAATTCTATAATAAATATGGAATTCTGTTTTGGACGATTAACAGCTCTGTATATCATGGAGAGAGAGAGAGAGAGAGAGGGGGAGAGAGAGAGAATAAAAGAATATATTTTTTTTAAATATACGAAAGTGTGCTTTAAATTTGGCAATCCTATTGTAAGAAATGCTGCTAGCACTGGAATAAAAAATGCCGGATATGCGAGATCAACAGAAAAAAATAATAATTTTGTAAATTATTATAGTTCATTTTACAAAGAGAAGTTGTAGATTGTATGGGAGGGGCGGAGTTAAATCTCGTGAATTTGTAGATCTACCTAAGAAGTGTACCGAGAAGTGTACCGAAAAAAATCCTAAAGACTGTTTGAAGCGTGGAGCGTCAAATAATATTGTATACAATTGACGCCAGCCAATTACCATCAAAGCGTCAAATTGCTATATGCGAGAGTCATGAACTGAAACAATCCTCAAAGCCTCGACTGTGCAGTTTTGCCTTGAGGAAAAACTGTATGTATGTGGCTACTTTAACTTAGATAAAACCGAAGCATCATGATTAGATTGCAAATATCGATGTAAGGTGATCGAATACTCTTGAATTAAATTTGTTCTAAACATAGACTTACACAACTTAATGATAAGCAAATATTAATCACTTAACGACTTAATTCTGTTATAAATATATGTTATTCTGTTTTAGACGATTAACAACTGTAGAGAGAGAGAGAGAGAGAGAGAGAGAGAGAGAGAGAGAGAGTAAAATAATATTTTTTTATTGTAATACTATAAATCCAAATAACACATGTGATAAAAATCCAACATTCAAAAAAGTTGTTTGTATTATGGTCACTCTTATCAGATGGACATATCATATAATTAGAAAAAAATGTTTGGTTTGGTTTGTCATACAACAAATAGCAGAAAAAAATATTCGAAAAAATTAATTTTGAGAAAATGAAGAAATACTTATCACCATTTGTGGATAGGGGAGAGTTACCTAAGATGGGACGGTCTCCTAAGAAAAGACAGTAATGTTTTTAAGGCATAGTAGACTTGCGGCGGCATCTATTTGTGTTAGTGGAAAGTTAATAGTA